CCCTTCCCTTCCCTTCCCTTCCCTTCCCTTCCCTTCCCTTCCCTGCTTTCCCTTCCCTTCCTTTCCCTTCCCTGACATCTTTCCCTGACATTTTTCCCTTCCCCGAGGGAAAAGTGCCCCGTGCGAAATAAATCTGTATCCCGCTGAGAATTCCATCTGTGCCTCGGTGCCTCATCCATCCGCTCGTGCTCCCCATCCACGTGCACCCGCTCTCTCCAACATTCCTATCTATCAGTATGTATCACAGCCTCTACTCCCAAGGCTCAGGGATCATTACAGAAGAGGAGGCAGACAGAGTGTTAGAGCCAGAGGTAGTAGATAAATACAAAACTTTGTTGTCTGAATATTACAGGATAGTTGCTCATATGAACCTGCAGTACTTGAAAGCATGCAGAAGATCTGTGTGAACTCAATGCAGACAATAAACGAGCATGGATGGAGAGATGGGCAAGAAGCCCAAGCTCTAGCTGAGGATCTATTAACAAGCAATAGCTACTGGGAGAAGGAGAATCCATTTTCTTTTTTTTTTAATATTTAATTTATTATTTTTATTTTACATGTGTGCATGCATCGCCTTCATGCAGGTAAGTGCACCCATGTCATGCAATGCCCACAGAAGACAGACGAGGCTGTTGGATCCCCCAGAGCTGGAGTTATGGACAGTTGTTAGTTGCCATGTGGATGCTGGGATTCGAACTCGGGTCTTCTGCAAGAACAACCAGTGTTCTTAACCACTGAGCCATCTCTCCAGCCCTAGAATCAGTTTTCTTTAAGGGTGTGACAACTGGTAGATTGACCAAGCTTCAGGGGATGGACCCATACCCAAGAGCATTTGGGGAACACAAATTAGACCTGATAGGCCTTTAAAAAACGAAAAAATAAGAATAGCGATAGAAGACATGAAGTTGATGGGTGGGGGTAGAGATGGGAGAAGGAGGTCTGAACACAACCAAAATACATTGTATGAAATTCTGCAAGAATCAATAAAATAGTTTTTACAAATTAAGAAATTATTTTGACACAGCTTTTAATTCTAAGAATCAGTGGGCTTAATGGAAAAGGCTAACAGAAAAGGTATTATGGTCAAAGAAATACTTCTTAAATACTATTTTAGAATCTTTAATTCCTTTCAGAATTGACTTTGAAGCATGCAGAGTCTCTGGCATGCAGCGTTAGTTGAGAACACAGGGTATGTCCTACTAACAGATCGCAGGATTAGCATGAGGATGCTGAAACTTGGACACCTTTGTTCTGGAGCTGTGGTATAGACAGCAGGAAGTAGCTGGACCTCCTCTCTCCCACATGCATTGTTGTGTGATGGATTTTATGTTTCTGGAATGAATGGACTTTAAACAAAACCTTTTGGACCATAGCTTGAAGAATGAAGTTGCTTTCATATACATCATTTTAATACATTTGGAAAATACTACTATCATCGCATTACTGAATTCGATACATGAAGAAACCAAGAAACACTGATATTCAGTAACTTCTTAGAGAGAGCACAGCTAATTAAATGTCAAAGCAAGGATGAAGTTCTAGTTCTCCAGGCCCAGATTCTTTACTGTTGAGATCTACCACAAGACAGCTCAGAGTAGCTACTGTAAGGCCACGAAGAATTTACAAGTTCAAGCTTTGTTTACACACTCTTCAGATTTCATTGTGGCTGCCATCTTTTACCTATCATTCACATTCGTGACCATTAATTTCTAATCACCCACCAGGCATTTTCTTTGAATTCTTTTCATCACCTGAAACTCAGTAGTTCAAAAGCAGAGCTCAATATGACTTACATTCCACTAGTACCCCTAGGTTACCCATTTCTATGGGTGGAAGGCACACCACTACCCACATTCTACAGGCTTAACATTTTGGAGTTATTTCTCATTTATTCTTCTGAAAACAACGCCTGTATGTAAATGTACCAACTTCCACTGAGTCTACCTTTTCCATGTCCTCTTCTCTTTCATTTCACTATTATCAGCCTGACCTGCAGCCTCATTCTCTTCTACCTTTTACATTATCTTTCAGCTCCAGTTTTCACCAAAGGCATTGAAGTTGGTAAAATTTGGGCATTAACTATTCAAAAGATTTTTCCATTAAGTTTTCACATAATCAAAGCTTGTTTATAGTTTAGTGTCTAATAATCTGACCTTAAATTTGTATTCAAATCTCTTCCTGTGATTCACTAACCCAGCCCCTTCACTCTGGCCAGGTTAAGCTTCTTAGTGCACCCTGTGAGTGTAATGCTCACTCATGATACTGTTTCTCTTACTAGAATTGAATTAAAATATTACATTTATTTTGGCCACTTAACATGCAAGGCAAGATTGCTCAGCATAGACTCAAATTTTGTCTCCTCTCTAAAGCCTTCTCCATTCAGTCTATATTTGTCCTCTGAGCTTTACCATTTAAAAAATTGACACTGGCTTATCATCTTGAATTCTTACATTCTTTATGTTGTATGGCCACGTGAGCTCTGTAATTTCTCCAATGCATAGGGACCATATCTGACCTATTTTGTGTCACATATTGTGTTGATCTTGAAAAATTCTTGTTTTGCTGGATTATAACAAATCTGAGATATTTTAATAGGAGTATGAGAAATAACAAAATTGATCAAAGTAGGAGCTAGGGCATGCACAGGAGGCTGGGTTCCATTCTCAGCATTGCCAGAAAAAATGGATCAATGTAAAAATGCACAGAGAGTTATGCTAACTGCGAGATTATTACAGTTACCCTTCATGGTATCACATCCCCAAAGTTGGCTATGTACCTTAGGAATCAGTGCCTTCCCTTTAGAATCCCTCAGAATCGACTAATAGTATCAGAAATGTTTCTGTGTCACGGAAGAATCTTGCTTTCTTCCCAGATAAGTACTTTATAAATAAATCAAATTTTTATTAAAGGTAGGAGAGAGCAGGTAATGGAAAATAAAAATGGATGATACTGAATTAGGAAGACTTTGACATAACAGATTCAGCTTTGCCTCAACCTGCAAACTTTTCTGCTTGGGTTTATTGGATCACAGTCTAAATTATGTTGTTTTCAGGAACTGACTGACCAGTGTAACCAGTCACCCAGGAGGGTTAGCTCTCTAGGAGACTGGTATACTGTACTTTTTGAAGAAAACTGTTTTTTAAAAGAGATAGATGTAGATATAGTATTTTGCTTATTTATTTATAAATATATTATAAATATTTATATATTTAGGTAGCTTTTGGTCATGATTGAGATATTAAATGTAAAATAGTGTTAAGAAACATTTTTCAATTATTTAAACTTCTTGCAATAGATATGATAAGTTTATGCTTGTGTATAAACAGGTTTCAGCTAGAATACAATGCAGGTGATTATGCTTTATAATACATTGTAGCATTTTTGCCATTATCTTTAAAATAATATGCAAACAAAACCAAGTTAGTTACATTTTCTTTTAAAACCACCACCTGCTAAATGTATGGAAGCACGACCTCCTAGAGTTCAAAACACTTGCTGAGCCCTGGGATTTAGAAACACTGAAATGAAAGAGGCAGCACCCATCAGTCCATTTGTCTACCCTTTAAAATTGCTTTTTTGCTCCTAAGAAGAAAAATACTCTTGGCTAAAGATTTTGATATAAGTGTATGAATTTTTGGCTGTGTGTTTACCTCATCTATTTTAGTCTAAGTTATAAAATAGTCTAAGCGATAGACATTTCTTCTATTTATCTGTAGTTGGGAGAACTGTCCTTTGCAGTCTTTAGTCAGAAACCAACAATTTCCAGTAGTGCAGTGTGCCTCGAGGAAATTTTAACCTGTTTGAGTTTCTTTTCTTATTTGCCAAACAGAGATGGAGCTAGCTTCAGAGAGAGAGTGAGAATGAGGGAGAGAAACACCCTGTCTCAATAAAAGCACATGAGAAGTTTAAGTGGGATAATGCATGTGGAACTGCCCAGTGACAATTTCAAGTCTCCCTCCACTGGGTTACCTGCAGCAGTCCCTCCCTATACCTTTTTTTCCGTATGAAAGGCAGCTTCTAGTACATTAGAAAAGCTCCACTGAACCCTTTAGATGAGCTCTTAATGTCTACTTTGTGCTTCTCCCTAAAGGTGTTGAAGGCTGGGCGAGTGTCGCCTCTGGATTTCCTCACATTGTGCCTGGCCGCAGACGAGGCAGTGAGCCTCCCTTGTTGACAGGCTGATTAGTTAATCAAATCTCTGGCCGAGAACCAAAGCAGAAAGAATTCATATAAGCAGCCTGATTTAAAGCAGACAAGACAGAGTGGTTATCACAAAACTCTGGGGTATTTGATAAAGTCTGCTGTCATCTGCATTTTACTGCATACCACTTCGGTATTGGTATTGAAACACCCCATCTCCTTACCTGCTGATTTCAAACGTCGCAGTTTAGGGTCCTTCTGTGCTTTCTCTCTGACTGCAAGATCCAAATCTTCAGTAAGTCCAGTATCCAGTCTCCTGGAGAGCTAACCTTCGTGGTGAGCAGCAGAGTAAATCTGGATATTCTGGCTGGTGTTAAAAGTGTACTCCATTCACAGCCTGCCTGCTCTTTAGGCAAGCTTCTTTGCAAAGTTGGGTTGCGGCTCTTTTCAGGAGGAGAGAGGTCAGGGCAGGGCACATTTGCTAGCCAATATATACCGATTCTACTTCCTCTTTCTGATTAGTCCTTAAACTGCTTAAAGCACAGCAGAGTTTAGTGTCTCTGGGGCAAAGTGGGGGAAGGGAAAGAACAGAGTGAGGAAGGAGGGAAACTGGAGATTTGTAGCGTTATGTGGATAAATGAGTGGTTATCCCTGGCTACAGCAGTAGAATCCTCAGGAAGTCCTGCAGCTGCTCCGAGGTGGGAAGCAGGGAGGAGTGTGTGCTTAGTTCTCTGTGATTTTTATGACTGGAGGGTGGTTAGACTACTTGTAGGCGGGGAAAGATAATCCTAGCAGTATATGCTAATATAACTGGCATTATGTGAAACTGGATCTGAAGTGAGATAAATTTCCTTCTCTCTCTCTCTCCCTCCCCCTCCCTCCCTCCCTCCCTCTCCCATTATGTGTATGACGCCTCTTTGTACTTGTCCCATAATTCTCAGATATTCTGTTCAGTATTTCTCTCCTTGCTTTTCAAATTTTCAAGTTTTTTTAAAGGCTTACCTCCCTCCCTCCCTCCCTCCCTCCCTCTTTATCTGCCTCTCTCTGTGTGTCTGTCTTTTTCTCCTTTATGATATGTGTGACTCTATTAACATTGCAAAAGTCCTCTTCATTTTTTGTGTCTTCTGTCTAAGAAAAAAAAAGGACATGGAAATCTGGTGTGTGCTCATCAGAGCCTGTAGCAAGGCAATGCTGTGATGTTTCAAGCCAAACTGATAAGGTTGTTTTAAACAGGGTAAACGAACTATATTTAGTTTTATTATGAAAGTTTTATGTAGGGATGGGCATAAACACTTTGTAAACATAGTCCCAGAATTAATAACTATTTTGAAGGACCTGCAAACATGAGCCCAACAATGGATTTATGGTCTGCTACTTGCTACAACAATAACAGCAACAAAATATTATTTACTCAATTTTTACCTCTTTAGGTATCAGAATGACTTTACAGCAAACCCTTGGTTGTAGTGGTAGTGATTGTAGGAAACTAGGATGCCAGGCCCTAGGGTGAGGTGAGCCTAAAACTTATAGGTCCAGGCTGCATTCTCTGCTAAAGGGAGAGGCACTGAAAACAGTGGCTCTGATAATTCCTGTCTTGCGGAACACTGTTAGACTGGCAGGAGAAAGCGGCCCGGTCATAAAAGTGCAGGCTCCCTGCTCTGTGGGAAAGCAGACACCGGCATCTCATCCAAGGCCATGGGCATCATGAACTCCTTCGTCAACGACATCTTGGAGCGCATTGCCAGTGAGGCCTCATGCCTGGAGCATTACAACAAGCACTCAACTATCATGTCTCCTCGAGATCCAGACTGCCCTGCGCTTGCTGCTGCCCGGGGAGCTGGCCAAGCACACCGTGTCTGAAGGCACCAAGGCCGTCACCAAGTACACCAGCTCCAAGTAAGGATGCACAAGTGACGTGACTGATTTCAACCCGAAGGCTCTTTTCAGAGCCACTTTTTTGAGTGCCCCTCCCTTTAGCAGAGAATGCAGCCTGGACCTGTAAGTTTTAGGCTCACCTCACCCTAGGGCCTGGCATCCTGGTTTCCTACAGTGATGATGGTTGGGAGAAAAGGTCCTTCAAATACATTAAAGGGAGAATAACATTTAGATTCAAGACCAGAATTTAATCCTAGCCTTGGGAATTTTACTATCTAAACTGTATTTTAACCAGTATTTCTTCAAAGTAGTTGGGATCCCCAGAGGCTATAGCAAAGTTTATAAGAAATACAGAATATACTTACTACTTCTCTAGTGTGAACTGTTTACAAGCATTTACATTTTTATGTATTTATTTTTTATTTTATGTGTATGAGTGTTTTGCCTGCATGTATGCAAGTGTACCCATGTCATGCAGTGCCTGAAGCAGCCAGAAGAGGGTGTTGGATCCCCTGGAACTGGAGCTATGGACAACTGTCAGGCAGCATGTGGGAATTGAACCCAGGGTGTTGGATCCCCTGGAACTGGAGCTATGGACAACTGTCAGGCAGCATGTGGGTACTGGGAATTGAACCCAGGACCACTGGAAGAGCAGCAGATGCTCTTAACTGCTCTGCCATCTCTCCAGCACCTGTTTATGAGCATTAACTTATGGTAGAAAGGGGATGTATGCATAGCCATTGAAGAAAATGTAAATCAATAAATGTAATCCACCACATAAACAGACTCAAAGTAAAAAACCACATCATACATAAACAGACTCAAAGTAAAAAACCACATCATTATCTCATTAGATGCAGAAAAGGCTTTTGAAAAAATTCAGTATACAGTCATGATAAATAAAAGTCATGGAGAACAGGGCACATATCATAAAAATTATAACAAGCTCACAACCGACATCATAGTAAATGGAGAAAATTTCAAAGTATTCCTATTAGAATCAGAAATAAGACAAGGATGTCTACTCTCTCCATTCCTGTTCAATATAGTAATATAGTCCTTGAAGTCTTAGCTAGAGTAATAAGACAAATGAAGGCGATAAAGGGGATACTATTTGGAAGGGAAGAAGTCAGTATCCTTATTTGCAGATGATATCATTCTACACATAAAAGGCCATAAAGACTCTACCAGAAAACTCCTAGAGCTGATAAACACATTCAGCAAACTAGCAGGATATAAAATTAACACACAAACATCCGTAAATTTCTTATATACTGATAATAAACACACTGAGGAAGGAATCAGGGAAATGATCTCATTCACAAAAGCTTTAAAAAAATTAAAATATATTGGAATAAATCTAACCAAGGAAGTGAAGGTCTTGTACAATATAAACGTTAAGACACCATAGAAAGAAATTGAAGAAGATACTAGAAGATGGGAAGACCTCCCCTAGTCATGGATCATTAGTATTAATATTGTGAAAATGGCCATCTTACTAAAAGCAATCTACAGATTCAGTGAAATCCCCATCAATCCCAACACAATTCTTCATAGAAATAAAAATACCCTCAAATCTCATTTAGGAACATAAAAACCCAGGGCAGCCAAAACAATCCTGAACAGTAAAAGAACTGCTGGAGGCATCACCATCCCTGATCTCAAATTATACTACAGAGCTACAGTTTTAAAAACCAGCACGGTTACTGGCATAAATACAGTCACATTGAACAGTGAAACAGAATCGAGGACCCAGATTTAATTTAGCTACTGGATTTTGGCAAAGGAGTCACAGAGGAGAAAAGGCAGCATGTTCAACAAATGGTGTTAGTTGAACTGGATAGCTCCATGTAGAAGAATGTAAACATCCCTGTTTCTCACCATGCACAAAACTCAACTGAAGTGGATCTAGGACCTCAGTATAAGACCTGATTCCTGGAATCTGGTAGAGGAATATGTAGGGAATACATTGGGACTTATAGGCATGGGAAAGGACTTTCTGAACAGTACTGGTATCGCACAGGCATTAAGTCCAGCAATTGACCAATGGGAAATCATGAAACTAAAAATCTTCTGTATAGCTAAGGACACTATTATTTGAGTGAAGAGGCAACCCACAGAATGGGGAAAATCTTTACCAGTCATACTTCTGAAAGATGATTGTCATCTAGAATCTACAAAGAACCCCGAAAACTAAAAAAAAAAAAACCCCAAAAACAGGCCGAGCGTGGTGGTGCATGCCTTAAATCCCAGCACTCGGGAGGCAGAGGCAGGGAGGCAGGCGGATCTCTTTGAGTTCAAGGCCAGCCTGGTCTACATAGTGAATTCCAGGACAGCTGGGGCTACTGGGAGACCCTGTCTCAAACAAAAAAAAAAAGAAAAGAAAAGAAAAGAAAAACCAAAACAACAACAAAAACCCCAACAACCCAGTTAGAAAGTGGGACCCTGAGCTAAACAGGGAATTCTCTAAAGATGAAATGCAAATGGATGAGAAATAATTTTAAATATGTTCAATATCTTTAGTGATTAGGGAAAAGCAAGTTAAAGCTACCTTGAGATTTCATTTTACATCAGTCAGAATGGCTAAGATCTAAAACAGGAAAACAAAAACAAACAAAAAACCAAAACCAAACAACAATAAATGCCATAAATGACGGTGAAGATGTGAAGAAAGGGGAACTCTTATCCACTGCTGGTGGGAGTGAAAACTGGTACAACCACTATGGAAATCAGTGTGCAGGTTCCTCAAAAAGCTAAAAATAGATCTACTGTATTATCCAGCCATGCCACCCTTGGGCATATACCTAAAGGACTCTATATCATACTACAGAGAGACTGTGGAACCTTTATGATCTGGGGCCAAGCTGGTGGAAATAGGTCACTAGGAGTGGCCTTTGAAGGGTATAGTTTACCCTGAGGGTTCTGGCGTTTTACCTGCTTCCTGGTCTGCCATGGTGTGAACAATCTCTGCTGTATGCTTTGCTCACCACAATGGACTGAAATTGATTCGTCACCATGCCTTCTCCATTCTGAAATATCCTGAAACTGTGAGGCAAAATAAATTTTCCTCCCTTAAGTTGTTTGTCAGATATTTTGGGCACAGTAATGAGAAAGTAACAAGATAGATTAATTTATCACAAAATCAAGAAGTGTAGTTTTCCTCCGGCACAGCAATTGTTTTAATTTGGGAGAACAGGTAAAGAGTGTTACTATACTTGTAGACATGCACACATGGTGGGGGGCATGTTTTATCTTTGGTTCCAACTTACAGAAGATTAAAAAGAAAATCAGTCCAGCTATCCAAACTGATGTCCTTCATTAATTTCCCTCTTTCTGTTCCAGTACCTACCCTATAAATATAAAGCCACCCTAAGTCATTATTTCTGGTGAGTCAAGGAGACTGTAATTACACTAGAGTGTATGAGACTGAAAGACTCCTGTAGAACAGAATAGCATAGACTACCTAGGATAGAGGGTGCAGATCATCAAAGCTGATTCTCCATACATTTTTCTGTGCCGTCCAATGTGCTAGCTGCTAGCCAAAAGTGGTTATTTAAGCTTCAGTGTAAATTTATAAAACATAAAATCTGCTCTTCATTCACCCTAGCTGTACTTCAGATTTTCAGTAGTATTAGACACATGTGGATATGACTACTGTATTGAACAACACGGATTTAGAACAAATGTTAAAACTAATACCTGGTTTGGGGTAGAAGATGTCACTCGTATAACATCATAAATACTCAGCAAAATTTGCCAAA